TTCCTGCCTCAGCCTCCTGAGTACTTGAATTACAGGCATGCACCAACATACTTAGCTGGGCAGTGGCTCTGAACTGCCATTTTCTAGGAGACCTGAAATGTCACTGTGGTCCACCAATCAGAGTACAAGTTTATGGAAGTCAGGTGACTACAGGAGTTTTAACTCAGGTCCATCTGAGGATGGGTTCAGTTTCTCCCTTGACTCATCCTGTGGTTATTTCCCCAGTCCCAAAGTGCATAGTTGGAATAGATATACTTGCAGCTGGCAGAACCCCACATTCATTCCTGGACATGTGAAGTGAGGGATATTGTGGGGAACACCAACTAGAAGCCATTAGAACTGCTTCTGCTTAGGAAAGGAATAAACCAATGCAAAGCCACCATCAAGGGCCTGAAAGATACAGGGGTGATGATTCCCACCCCAACCCCATTTTGCTTATTTATTTGATCTGTTAGGAAAAAACAGATCTCAGAGAAGGGCAGTAGACAATTGCAGGTTTAACCTAATGGTGATCCCCAATTGCAGTTACTATTCCACATATGCTTTCATTGCTTGAAAAAATTAGCACCTCTCCTCATTCCTAGTATGTAGCTATTGACCTGGAACGTACTTTTTTCTCTGTAGTAAAGACAACCGGTATCAGTTTGCTTTCAGCTGGGAAGGCCAGCAACACACCTCCACTGTCATAACTCAGAAGTATATCAACTCTCAGCCCCTTTCATAATTCAGTTTGAAGGTATCTTGATTACATTTTCTTTCCATTAGATATAATACTGGTCCATTTTATTGATGCATTGTACTGATTGGATCTAGTGAAGAAGTAGCAATTACTCTGGACTTTTTAGTAATATATTTGCATGCCAGAGGGTAAGAAATACATCCAACAAAAATCAGGAGCATTCTACTTCAGAGAAATTCCTGGAGGTCCAGTGATGCAGGGTATGTTGGGATACTTTTCCTAAGGTGAAGGGTAAGTTGTTGTATCTGGCCCTTCCTATACGTACAAATGAGCCACAATGCCTGGAGGCCTCTGTGAATTTTGGAGGCATCATATTCTCCTTTTGGATATACTCTAGCCAATTTACCTAATGACCTGAAAAACTGCTAGTTTTGAGTGGGACCTGGAATGGGAAAAGGCTCTGCAATTGGCTTAGGCAGATGTACAAGCTGCTTTTCTGGGTGTGTCATAGAGTGTTTCAAGCATCAGTGACAGGAAAAGTTGCTATTTGGAGCCTTGGACAGGCTCCCCAGGTGAATCTCAGAGCAGGCCCTTGGAATTTTGGAGCAAATTCTTGTCATAAGCAGAATACCTGGAGACTCATTTCACTTGGAAGGAAAGATGGCCAAGTATGGCCAAATGTCTTGGTTACTTTTCTCTCATTGCTAAGACAAAACACCCAAAGCCCAAAACTAAGGGAGGAAAGGTTTATTTAGGGCACAGTTTGTGGAAGTTTCAGTCCATAATCAGCTGGCTCCAAGGCAGGGTGGCAGGGCACAAGGGAAACACTTCAAGGTGGCAGACGACAGCAAAAGCAGGAAGAGCAAAAAGGGGAAGAACAAGTCTCTTTTCCTCCCTTATATCGTATGCTGGCTATCTGCCCACACCATCTCTGTGCTCTCCTCTTGCACAGGCTCAGGATGTAGAGCTGCTGAGTCACTTAGCCAAGCCTCTAGACTCAAGTTGACACAATGTATCAATCATAACAATCCACCCCTTGTCAACTTAGCAACCAGATACATTTCTTTAAACCAGTTTCCAGATACCAAGACATTATTCTTATTTCACAACTTGAACATTGTAACACAGGTTTAACAATCCTTAAGAACCAGTATTAAGTCTATCAACATTATATTACTTTAGAACCATAACATTTTGCCCCCCAAAGACTCATGCACATCCCTTTATGCAAAAGGCATTTAGTCCACCTGCAAGAGTTGCCAAACTCCTAACAGTTTCAGCATTGTTGAAAAGTCCATGTCCCAAGTCTCCTCTGAGATGTAAGACAAACTCTTAGCTGTGAGCCTCTGTACAAATGAAAAGAAAGTTAAACACTTCCAACATTCAGTGGCACAAAATAAGCATTTTCATTCCTCAAGTTGCAAACGGGAATACAAAGGAATGGAACAAAAGCAAGCCCAAAATCCAGCAGGGCAAACATTAAGTACTGCAGTTCCATGTGGAACATTCAAAGTAATCTGTGATAAATTGTAAGCTCCATGTGGCTCTACCTCTATAGCACTGTCATAACTCAGAAGTATATCATCTCTCAGCCCCTTTCATAATTCAGTTTGAAGGTATCTTGATTACATTTTCTTTACATTTCTGGTGGCTGTAGCTCCCGTGGCTTCTTTCTTGGGCCCACTTTGATCCCTCTTTGCAGCTTTCCTCAGACAATCCACATTCCTGGCTTTTCCAAATTTCTTGGGTTTCCACTGCACCTTTTGCTTCACACTCACATCTTCACACACTGCCCTCTCAGGAACACACTGCCTGACCTCTCAGGCCTTCTGAAATACAGGTGGAAGCCTTTTTAATGTCAGAACTCTTGCATTCTGCATGTGCCTAAAACAACCACCACGTGGATGATGCCAAAGTCTGCTTCCAGGTGGAGGAGTAGCCAGACTTTCTTCTCTCTTGGCTGTAGGGATCAAGTGCCTTCCTGAATCACTGAGCACTCTGAACCTGATTCTGAGGAACAAATTCTCTATGCTGCCACAATTCTGGAACATGGTTTTCGTCTCAAAGCAGTCTTTCACCTTTGAAGTTTTTTTCTTTTTCTTTTTCTTTTTTTGTCTTTTTGAGACAAGTTCTCACTATGTAGCTCAGGCTGGCCTTGAGCTCACTTCATAGCTCAGGCTGGCCCTGATCTCCCAATGATCCTCCTGCCTCAGCCTCCCAACTGTTGGGATTACAGGTGTGCACCGTGCCTGGTGACATTTACAGTTTTCAGGCTGCAAAGGGTAGAGATTTGCTGCTTCCTTTGATGCCCTCAGACCATCTTTGAGATTCCCTTGTTCCTCCTCAGCAATCAAGATCTCCTCTGCTCTACTGCTTTACTGGAGCTTCCTTTCTGGTCAAACTCACAACATTTTAAATCATCCTTCTGGGCTCTTTGCTCTTGATTCTCAACATAAATCTAGCTAAAAGCCCCCAACAATAGCCATGCCACAGCCTCAACATTCAACTGCCTTGAAATTTCTTCTGCCAGGCTAATCAGTCTCCTAACCTAAATCTCAGTCATAGGCAAAGTCTCTGGACATGAGCAAAATTCAGACAAACTTTCTGCCAAGCCATAACATGTATCGTCTGGAGTCCAGCACCCAATGCAGTCCTTCTTCCTCGCAGAAAACTCCCAAGTTTTTAAAACCTCCTAGTCTTTACTGGCAGGATTTCTATCAGCCTCTGGTCTTCTGACCTTGACCAGACTCTCCCACAGAGAACAGCAGAAGGCATTCCAGCTCTACTCGTTCAGGCAACATCTCCGAACCTTTCCAAACACTTCCCACAAGGCATTTCCAAAGGCTTTTGAACCCCATGGTCAGGTATAATCACAGCAATGACCCCACTTCTCTGGTGCCAAATTCTGTCTTGGTTACTTTTCTCTCATTGCTGAGACAAAACACCCAAAGCCCTAAATTAAGGGAGGAAAGGTTTATTTAGCTTACAACTTGTGGAGGCTTCAATCTATAATCAGCTGGCTCCAAGGCAGGGTAGCAGGGCACAAGGGCAACACTTCAAAGTGACACAAGACAGCAAAAACAGCAAGAGCACCAGGCGTGGTGGCACACGCCTGTGATCCCAGCACTCAGGAGGCTGAGGCAGGAGGATTGTTCTGAATTTGAGATCAGCCTAGGTTACAAAGTGAGTTTAAGGCCAGCCTGAACTGCATAGTGAGACCCTGTCTCAAAAAGACATAATTAATTAATTAATTAATTAATTAATTTTTAAAAACCAGCAAGAGCAAAAAGGGGAGGAACAAGGCTCTTTTCCTCCCTTATATTGTATCTTGGATATCCGCCCACGCCCACACCATCTCTGCATCCTCCTCTTGCACAGGCTCAGGATGTAGAACTGCTGAGTCACTTAGCCAAGCCTCCAGACTCCACAAGTTGACACAATGGATCAATCATAACACCAAACAGACTCATAGGCTGCAATGGTTTAGTTGAATGGTGAGAGACATGGAAGAAATATGGTAAGAAAATTGGAGACAAGGAAATAGGTATAAGAAGTATATGGATAGACTCTCTGAGTGGGCAAAAATCATGAAGATAGTTGTGTCTTGTGTAAATACTCACTAAAGAATGACCTCAGCAGGGGAGAATTTAATAGTCAAGTGGGCAGGATGGCCCATTCTGTGCATGGCAGTCAGGCTCTTTCCCCCTCCTTCTTGTCATTGCCCAGTGGACTCATGAGCAAAGTGGCCATGGTGGCAGGGTGGAGTTATACATGGGCTCAGCAACATGGACTCCCATTCATCAAAGCCAATCTGGCTACAGCCACCCCTGAGTACCAATCCGCCAGAGCAGAGACCAACACCAAGTCCCCCATACAGTGCCATTCCCCAGGGAGACCAACCAGCTAGCTGGTGGTGGGGTGGTTACACTGCCATGGGAGAAGCAGTGGCTTGGCTTTCTGGAATAAACACTCACTCCAGATATGGATTTACCTTCCCTGAATGCAATGTTTCTGCCAAAACTACCATCCACAGATTCACAGAATTCCTCAGCCACCACTGTGGTATCCCACATAATGTTATTTCTGGGCAAGGAACACACTTTATAGCCAAAGGAAAAGGGAATACAATATGTATAGGAAGAAGGTAGTTATAAATATGAGCACATGATCAGTTGCAGAAGTGAGAAATGCAATTATCATGTGTATTTCCTCATTTTGTTATGAATGCGTGTGTGTGTGTGTGTGTGTGTGTGTGTATCTCCCATTGGTTCTCTTTCTCTGGAGAACCCTGACTAACACAAAGAGCAGCACACTTCACCTGCAACTGCACATCAGGGAGGATTGCTCTGGTCTTAAAGGGCAGGAGGAACCAAGAAGGTGCAAATGAAAGCAGAGCGTTTTAGGCCTGCAATGAGAAAAGAAAGCATGAAACCACAATCACAGGATGCGAGAGTACTATTTTCCCCCAGCCTGGGACATTTCTCATGCTTAATATTCAGATTTTATGTGGTTCACAGAGAGATAATTCATTACAAAGTGACAGAGCTTTACTCTTTTCATTTTTTTTAGTCCTTCTATAACAAGAAAGTCTTTTATTTATTTATTTATTTATTTATTTATTTTGGTGCGAGCACATAACACCTTTGTGACACTTGCTAATCGCCACCCAAGGTGGGCCTTCCCTAATATTATCCACACACAGAACTCTGCCAAACCAGTCAGTGGACTAATCTAGTAATCATATATCCTTGATCACAGCATCACACACTTAATGCTAGCATCAAACACTCTAGATCCAGCCATCTCTGAAACACCCCACCTATGCCCACATGAGGCTTTGGGGAGACATCTAGACACAACACATAACACCGTGCATGGAGAGAAGTGGTGGAGCATGAAGCAACAAATGCAAAGGAAGAATTAGGAGGAATCCAGGAAGAAAAGCTAAGGACTCTGATTGTAACTGCAAAGTGAGAGAAGGTGTCCAGGAGCCTGTTAAATAAGAGAGTTAAACTTGGAAAACAGCCACAAAAGATTATACCAGAATGAATGACAGAGGCTGGTGTGGGGTAGAGTAGAGTCAGTGATCAACTAGACAATTCAAAGCTATTCTTGGTGAGGGGCTGGGGATTTAGCTCAGCGGCAAAGCGCCTGCCTGGCAAGCGCAAGGTTGTGAGTTCGGTTCCTGG